GTTTTTTTTTTATTTATTTAATGAAATAATGTCAGGTTAGGCGTTTTTTCATTAAAAAACATTTTTTTTTCATTCATTTAATGAAATAACGTCGGTTTTGGCATTTTTTCATTAAAAAATGTTTTTTTGATTTATTTAATGAAATAATGTCGGGTTCAGCATTTTTTCATTAAAAAAAGACGTTTATTATTATTATTTTTATGAACAAACGTCAGATTCAGGTCAAAAAAAATGGGTTGGCATTTTTTATATATAAAAAACGCTGAAACGTCTTTTATTGACCCAAAATATATCGGGTCAACGGGTCAGGTCAGGTACCTGACTTGTGACTGACCCAACCCGAGGTCAGGTCATTAAATTTGCTACCCGACCTGAATTTTTTGGGTCAACCCGTCGGGTCACCCGGGTTGACCTGACCCGTTCAGAGCTCTAGATAAAATAATTAAAACAATATATTATTTTTAATAAATTTTAATAAAAACTTTATTATTTAATTAAATGTTAATTAAATTTAATTGTTTTTTCATTTTTTAATTTTTTTAAAATTTTTTTTTTATTTATCTCTTTGACGATGATCAAAGAAAAAAGATGATCAACAAAATTTTTTTTTTTACAAAAGTTTATTATTTGATAATTAAACTTAACAAGCAATAAGACTATCACAGAAGTGCCCAATTTATGATTTTATTCTAATGATGTCAAAAGAAGCAATATTTGCATATAGCAATATTTTTTAAAATATTAGCATTAAATAATGTATTACTATTGAAATTGCGAATATGCATATTGCATATTGCATATGCATATTATATATATATAAATTTGAACTCTAAAGTTCGCGTTGCACACTTCCAAATTTCTGAAAAAATACTTGAAGATCACACAACAAATACCAAATTAAGCGAAAAAGTACATTTATTTGGAAAGTGATCATCAATAACTATCACATTAAAAGTATACTATTGCGAAATTAAATTGTTAAAAGGTTCAGGTCTAACAAAATAGGGTATGTATGCTTATTAATAAAATTTTTATAGCAAGCAAGGTTAACAACTTGATGAGTTTTATATATAATATTAAAAATTATTATGGAAATTCTTTTTGCATTTTCATTAAAAAGTATAGAATAAAAGAGTTATATAAATTCTTATATAAATCTAATTCTTATAATAAACCCTAATAAACCATACAGTATCATTTTTTAATTATATGATTACTTGATTTTGTTATCCAATAGTATCTATTTATAATGTAAATAATAATTTCTCTATTTGAAATTCAAATTTAATTAAAAAAATCTCTTAATATAAAACAAGTTTTAGCATTAATAGATTTTAAAAAGACAAAAATGATAATTTGCTAGACAATTCCAGCTAGTTTATGATAGAATTGTTATCTAAGTGATCAGTCTACTTGTAAAAGAGTAATAGGAAGAACCCTGACATAATATTTTTGAATGAAAGTATCTTATGGATTGCAATTTCACACCAAAATTTATTAACCAAAAGGCAAGAAAGAAGAGTCTTTCTATCATTATGATAATCTTTAATAATATTATATAAGAGGCAGGTTAAAGATTAATTTGGGCATTATTGTTATTTTTGGTAAAAGGATTATTATTTAAGATTGATTAATAATAATATGAGATTGTTTTTTTATGGCAAAAATATGCACCATCTTTCTTTCATAAATAAATATACTTTATCTAATATTGAATTTTTTTTAAAATAAATCAATAGATAAAAGTAAGGTGTATAATATAAAAGGTAGTTTGTTGGATAGTAATATTATTATCAACTACTATAATTTTCTTGTAGAGTTTTACTTATCTAGGCATTTACTTTTTGTAATTAATAAAGTAATGAAAATAATTGGGAATTTTTCAGGTCTAATAAATATAGGAATTAATTATATTTTCAAATGTATTAAAATGATTATTCAATCAATTCAATTAGCAATAAATGAGAATATAATTTATCTAAATTTTTTTTTATATAATATTTGTTAAGTATTAAATTTTTAAATGAAATTATATAATAAATAAAATAATATATTTTCATTGTCTTGTTGATCTTCTGCTGTTATATATATAATTTTATTTCCACATATGGTTGTTTGATCCAATGTGACATTTATTCTTCTATGATGGTAAAACTTTCCAATTTGTAATAGTAAAATAGCCAATAATAATCTAGCTTAAATTATGAATTATTTAAAAGTATCAAATGTTTGGCATATTTTCCTAATATTTCTAGTTGTTATGCATATTATATTATTGCTTCATATTATAAAAATGGTGTAAACAAAAGATTTAAAATTAAAAGTAAATTATTACTAGTATATATAAATCCTTCCATTAGTATCATAAATAACTTAACTTTTAAGAAAAATATGTTATGAATAATGAAAGTCTTCATTATGAACTTCAACTGGTAAATTCATTATTAATATGATTATATTACATTGATCTACAAATAGTGAAATCATGGCAGTTGCTCTTTACCAATAATTTCATGCCATACATGATTTGTAAGGAGATTTTCTTATTGACAATTTTTTTGACAATAATTATAATAGAAATGAATATAATTGTTTCAATATATAATACAATATATAATCTTAATGTACAACCTCAATTTACAGCCTTAATGTACAGCCTTAATTAAAGCCTCAATGTACAAGCCCCAATATATAGCCTCAATGTATAACCTCAATGTATAGCCTCAATATACAGCCTTAATGTACAGCCTCATTACTTGTTGGAGATTTGATTTGAAGAACCATAAGGATATCATTATTTGAATATTCATAAATATATTAATATAATTTAAAAGCATAAAAAATTAAAAATAAATCAAATAAATTTAAAAGTGGAAAATATAAATCAAGTTATAAATTGTAAAATATATATATTCCTTCATTTGGTATATGATTAAGGTTAAGTGATTGTAAATAAGCTCCTGGTTCTTTTTTTGGTATTTTACAGATTACAATAGAGTCAAAATAATTTCGCCTTGATCAATTCCGATTAGAATATAATAATTATATTAAAATATTCTCATTAATTACTACTTTTTCCATTTATATAATTCTGGATTACTTTTTTCATATTTTTTGTATTTCTTTGTTATCTTTTTGTACATTATAAAGTATAATAAGAAAAAATGAAATGTCAAGTTTTACCAATAAATGGAGGAGAGAAACATAATGTATTGTGAAATTTTAATATAAACCAAGCTGCAGTTTGTAAAGTGTACCAATATATATTCCTTATTTAAGTTACTAGTTCTCTTTTTTGTATTTCACAGAGAAATAAATTATGTAAATACACCACAATAATGGCATTCCAACTAGCACATCATAATTATATTAGAACTGCTACTCAATAATTAAGTCTGGGTTATCCCAATTCTTTTTCTAATTCGTCTTACTACATTTGTCATATACACAAGAAAAATAAAATATAACCCATAATTTTACCAATAAATGGAGAAGAAAAAAATGGGTTAAGAAATTTCCACAAGTTAGCAATATAAACTTAGTTGCAGTTTATAAAGTGTATCAACATACATTTGTCCTTTTTTGTGTATGATTAAGTGATTGTAAACAAGCTCCTATTATATTAGAATATTATTAATGCCAATACTTAAATATCCCATAGTTCTACTAATAAATGGTTGAAGGACTACTAACAATACACTATGATATGAACTCCATTCCAAGAGAATAATGTAAGTGAGTAGGAGAGAAAAATTTTAAAATGTAAAGGTATCATATCTTTAAATTCATCTGAAATTGTGGCTAATAATGGAATAAAAATCTATTTTTGTGATTTATAAAGAAATATGAAAGAACTTTATCTTATTGCATTATATAGCAGTTGAATTATGTGTAATCCAGGTAGTTTTATTTTTATATAATAATCTTCAACAGTAACACAAGAAGTATTAGAACATTCCTTTAGTATAATAGATTAAAATTTATCATAAATATATTGAAAGCTAAGATAAATTTCATAAATTATATAGCTAATATTAGCACAGGGTTTTTTAAAAGAAAAATAAAAAAAAAAGGTTTTACAAGGAGTATAACTAAATGGACACCTTTTTATAAGAAATTTTGTGGGAAAAAGTTTTTGATTATATGATTATATTATCATGTGATTATATATAATATATCATATAAAAGATGACGAAATTTCTAAGCCATTTATTTATTTACATAAGCCTTGGCTATGTTACCTTTTGTGACAAACACGGTAAAAAACTTAAAAAATTTAGAATATATTACGTACACATAAACATAAACTCTGAATAAAAAAAGAATTATTATTTCTTATAATTATTTACTGTAGTTTTCTTGTATTAGTTGTATAATAATGTTTGTTGAACTAATTCTTTAGAAAAAAAACATGGAAACTAAAAATATGTGATTGTAAGATAATATTTAATATTTATTTTTTTAGTACGTATAATAATAATTTGCGATGATCAAATTTTGGTTGAACGAGACCTTTTACTTTATCATCCGGCAATTTTTTTTTGTCAAATTAAGGGAATATTAGTGAGCGCATTTAAAATTGTAAAATTAATGTAAAACTAAAGGGACAAAATTTTATTTTATAAACATAACATACTGAATACACGGATGAACCTAATTTAATTCAGATAATTACAATATCAAAGAAATTGTAATATCTATACCCGCTAGAATATTTCGATGTATAATATATTTAATATATTCAAAGTTTGTTCATTTTCAAATTTTTTTTATTAAAAAAATTGGGATGTCTAACTTTAAATGTGATAAAAATAATAAATATATATTATAATGGAAAAATAAAAATTCTTTCTTTTTAATATTTATTAACGTTAATTCTTATTAGTTAAATTAAGTGATATATAATTCAGATAATTGCACTAATATTGAGATAGGAATTCCATGAATATAATGTTAAATATAAAAATGCAAGCAAAACAAAAATTATATAATAAATTATACTAACTAGCATACTTGCGAGTCCATTCCCTAGCATTAGCTTCATAACAATTACGATTATTTATGTACAAATAATATTTTTCTTGTATGAAACACCCTAATATAATTTATTTGGTTGAAATCGATCAGATCATTCAATACAAAATAAATATGGTTGATATATTAATTATATTATATACCTTTGTATGGATCAGTTAGCAATGTACAAACTAAAGCGAGTACTTTGTATAATAAAAGAATTTGATTAATACTTTTTTATATAAAAAGAATTTCTATAATAAACTATTATTACCCTTCGAGATGTTAAGTGCTGGCGACCATTGTTTCTTTAAAAAGCAACCGCAAATATTTCCACCATCACTGAAGTTTAGATGGTAAATTTTTGTTGTAAATCTAATCTAGTACGAATATATGTGAATAAGTACGCAATTAAAATAATATATACAATCATATAAACAAAATATATACCCTTGGTGGGTTAAACGGATAATCTTCAGGAAAATCAATAAGGAGGAAAAATACACCACCCGAGTATGGGGAATCAGACTAATCAAAAATTACAATACCAAGTTAAATTGATTGGACTAAATTAGCCGTAAGTTTGTTTCTACGCAGATAAAATCACAAATAGGCTATTAATTTAGCCAGCAAATACTTACAGGACCCATAATTGTCGCTTGCCAATGAAAAAGATCATCATCAATAGGACTAGCATTACAAGACGACAGTTGGTTTTCTCCTAAAATATACAATTCCTAATAATTTATATGTAAAGTATTAAAAAAAGTGTAAAATTTTTAAATTTTCATTCAAAATCCGACAGCTGAATAATATAAAAAGTTTAAAATTATTTTTCTTAACTTACTCTATTAAGTCTTTTAAGTGCCATTCCGTTAATTAGGAAGAAAGTAAAATCACGCAATTTCTTTACTGTACGCCCTTAAAAACTACCAAGATCATCAAAATATTTTTTTTTAGTGCTACTGTCACGTGATTGGTGATCCTACCAATTTTGTAGAACAAATGAACAATGTAAATCGATGTCACTAATATCACGAATGTCATAGATGTATGACATATCATGAAAATCATATATAGTTGATAGGTTTAATATGTTTATTTTATCTGTTATATTTATTTTATCTGTTATATATTATATGTATGATTTATTAGTTATATTAGTTATATATTATATAGTTATTATTTTTATTTTATCTATTATTTTTGTTATATCAAAATATATAGTTAATTTTATATAAATACAACGCTGTAGACAAGTGAGAAGAGTTGGATGCTCAAGGTTGTTTAGTTTATTAATCATGATGAAGTAATTTTGGTTTTAATGGATCCTTTATTCATGTCTGATCGTATATGCCAGAGTGTTGCTATACTTTATTCATGTCTGATTGGATTATTTGTATTAGTTTATTGTCTTTCTTATTTTAATAAACCTTCTGCTTACCATTTTCATTTTGTTTACGTTTGTAAACACTAAAAGAACTGACCTAACACTACCATTAAATAAACTCATTAACTCGATCATGTGTTTTTCGGTCGCACCAAAGACTAATTGATTTCAAAAAATCTGCCCGAACCAAATAAATGATTATCATTATGATGGTTTCAGGTATTTGATTAATGATAAATATTTGAATAACCAAAAATACTAATAAAACTCATAAGCATCAGATGTACTACAATGTAAGTTCCATGACTAAAACCAAAAGCCATATACTATAATCAGGAAATTATATATTTGTAACCTTTCTTTTATTACAAATGGAGCTGTAGTTGTAATAAACTCAAACTCAAGGCCAATTCTCCGATTCTAATTCTGCCAATAAACGCAACATGCATGTTGATAGTCTTACTCAAGTAGTTATTTATACAATATATAAACGTTGGATTTAATCATTCAAGTACGGCAAACAATATGACAACATCTTACTATTTTTAAGAATTCTTGATGTTTGATTTTTTAAAAGGAGTTAAGCAAATTCATCGTACTCATTCAGGGTCATACTTATTACGTTTATTTTATAATTTGAAGTTTGCAAGCGAATCGATTGAAAATCGGCTAATCTAAAAATAAGTTTTCTGATTTTTTTTTTTGTTATGAAAAAAAGGTTAAAAAAACTATAGCTTTTAATTATGCAAAATTAAAGAACGATATTCTAAAATTAGAAACATCATGTATAGGAAAAATTTGAGTTAAAAAAAAAAAATTGTATTTATTCACTCCAAAATCGAAAATCAACAATCTACCCGATCAACAATATTAAGTGCACTTGCTTTGAGCTACTCGCTAGGCCCTATAAATTTTATCATTTATTTCCGTAAAAACTCCGTAAAAATGAGCCTTTCACGGATCCATTTACGGAAAATGTAAATTATTTGATAAATTATGTGATACAAAGTTATTATAATTCTGGAGATATGGGCCTTTTACGGAATAAAAATGGAATATAAAACAACGGATCAACTTTTTTTATAAGGAGGATTGCTATCCAAAATGAAAAAAATTAACAATCATTTTAGAAAATAAAAATGTTTCATTCTTTTATTTCTTTTAATAAAAGAACTTTAGGTTCATGTAAAGGCTTTTTTGACTTTTATTAATAGATTATATAAAGTCGTGAGCAAAAAAAATTATGTACTGTATATACAGTATTAAAAGATGGTACTTAACGTGCTTTACGCATGCTACGCCAACTATTCAAATTAATGGATCTGTATAAGTTGTAATAAAATTGGATATCTTATCTTTCCAATTATCAAAAAATAATTGTACAATAAAAAACGAAATTTAAAACTTAAATAATCTACTTGTGATGATTTTGCTAATATTTCAAATAAACTACCTTAATAAAAAAGTTAGCATGGAATAACTGATTTACTTAAAAAATCCATTTCTAATTATCGTACATTGAATTATTTTTGAACTTAAATAATGAGATATAGACTACCTTGCTTTACTTCTTTATTTACTTCAAAGAGTTAAGTTTCGAAATTTATATGATCATTTCATTTAATATAAAGACCTTACAAAAATTATTAGAATGAAAAAATTAATCAAATCTATTTATTTTTATTTTGTAGTTTGTGATGTCTTTGATGAATACGTTTCTGAGAAAGTGAATAATAATATAGTAACAATGTAAGCTAAACAAATATGAATTGAATTTTTATGACAATGGCAATGCCAAGAAGCGGTAATTAAGTAAGATTTCTAACAAACATATGAAATTTTTAAATTAAAAATTAAAAAAAATTTCACTTGATTTGTTTTATATTGTGGTGAACGTTTTATGTCTAAAAACAGCAATTAATTATGGAAAAAAGAAAATGCATATGAAAAATATATTAAAGTTAACTAGCTATTTATTTTTTTAGCAATGAACAAGTTAAATTACAAATAATCATGTAATGGCAGGTTTTAAATAATTGATCTTTAAACACAATTATTTTGTAATCATATGAATAAAATATAAAAAAAATCGATACCTAAAATATAAGAAATAAAGAGAAAATAACAAATTGTTCAAAAAAATCTCAATTATTACATATTTTTAATTAAAAAAAATGTATAATTATAAACTTATATCGATGCAAGGAACTGTTTTAAATAATATTCAAGATAACGTCTTCATTTCATTTGCATTTACACTAGCTTTGTAAACCTTCACTTTCAAGAATTTCATTCGACTTTTTACTAGTATTTTCAACTAAATAGTTAAATAAATAAATTAATTTCACATAATAATTTGCAAGATTAATTTTTTATATATTATAGTACATACCTAATGACCTTGAATCACTAATTAAACAATCATTCAAATCTGAATGTCTTACATGATATGCTTGTATCAAGAATTTTATTCAATTTTTTACTAGTAAAATCAAGTAAGCGACTTGTATAACATGCTTTAGGATGAGATTTAGTAGCAAGATTGTTATGCCCAATTGGTGCATTTATAAATTCCATAATGTTGCTTTTTAATTCTTTACTGACTTCATAAGAATGGAAAATCCATTTTTCAATAATTTTTAATACTTCCTTAGAAGATGGTCTTTTTAATGGATCTTCATTCCAACATTTTTTCATTAAATCTACATAACATTGTGGAGTATTTTCAATAATTTCAGGTCGTTCACCTTTACAAATACTTAAACAAAGTTGAATATCATGTGCTCTATTATTAAATGGTGGTACCCAGATGTAAGTTCCCACATAATCATAGAAAAACTATATACATCACTAACTGGAGTATAAGATTTTCCTCTTAAAACTTCAGGAGCCATAAATGGCATAACACCATAAATGTCATGCTTTTTCAAAAACGATCTTACAGGTTGACATAATCCTAAATCACTAATATAAATTTTATCCTTATTCTCATCATTATAATTTAAAATATTTCCATCATGAAAATCACAATAAATAAGATTTTTTCGTGTATCTTACTAAGTCCAGAAATAATTTCGTACAATATATATAGTTTTTGATTCTAATTATTTCCAACTATTCTTGTTAAATTTTCTCTTAAGTTACCTTTATTTGCATAATCCATTACTACCATATATTTTGAAGCATTTGGATCTTCTGTAAATCCATAAAAATTTATAATGTCATTTGAACTTAAAACACTTGTATGATATTCCCACTATAAAAAATAATAGTAATTTATTAATATAAATAAGTCTTAATTTAAATTAAAATAGAAAATAATATACTACCATACTTCTTTTAAGAATTCATTTAAATTTTTATTTAAATCCTTATGGCATTTAAGAATTACTTCTTCATCTCTATTATTCTTTAGCCAAGTAGCTTTATATATAGTACCAAATCCTCCTTTAACATTTTTAAATTTGTTATAAGGAATCCATTTTAATCCATTTTTAAAAATAAAATCATCTATAATTGCATTTTCACTTTTTCCAAATCTATAAATTTAAATAGTTAAAATTATATTATAGCTTGTATTATTTTTACACTAAAATAAATTATTACTTACTCTAAAATTTAAATAGGAATTTAATGTAATAAAATCTTACTTTACTGTCAAGGCCAATTTTTTTGGCATGATTTTACAATCATTATACCATCCATGTAATCATAATGTTGACATGATATACATACATGTTATCATGTATGTTAACATGAATATTGACAGGTTTTTGAATTATAATAATAATGTAATAAACCATTACAAAATAATAATTGTCAAGTATTATGCAATAATTATTTTTTTTTCTTAATAAATAATTATTTTGATATATATGTTGATATAATTTGTTTAGATCTAATGCATTACACAAATATTATAATATGATAAAATTCATTATGTTTCAAATTTAGCAAATATGAATAAAATGCATTACAATATTTTATTTACATATATTGCCAAATATAATTATAATATTTTATCTATGCATTTTAATCAAAACTGACCTTTAACGTTAGGTAAATTTTGCCGATCGGTCATATGAATCATCACATTTTGACCAATGGCAATACTAGTCAAAACGAAGGATCAGCTGATCGGACTAGTCAATTATAGTCTGTGCGGCAAATGATAAACTTTTTAAGCTTTAAAAAAAAACTTTTTTTCGGTAAGTTTCAAAAGTTTCGTTTTGAAACTTTTTTTTTTCTTTTTTTTTTTAGGTATCAGTTTCAACTTTTGCTTTAGATCGGTAAGCTTTAAANCGGTGCTTTGAATTGGTAAGTTTCAAAAGTTTCGTTTGTTTCAAAACTTATTTTTTGGGTTATAAAATAAAATTTTTTTTTTTATTTTTTTTAGGATTTGTCATTGTGCTTTTAATTGGTAAGTCTTGTAAGTTTCGCTTTCGAAACTTTTTTTTTTGTTTTTTTTTAAATAAAAATCTCTAATTTCTTTATTTTTTTAGATATGAATCAGCTTCAACTTTTCGCTTTGGATCAGTAAGTTTTGGAAGTTTCATTTCAAAACATTTTTTAAATTTTTTTTTAATATTATTTTGAAGAAACTAATCATTTCTTCTTTTATCTATTTTGTAAGTTATCAACTTCGGTTTTTAGATGTAAGTTTTGAAGCGAAACTTTATTAAATATATTTTTTTAATTTCGAAGAAACTAATTGTTTCTTCTTTTGTCTATTTTGTAGATTTTTGTCTTCAGCTTTGGCTTGGTTTCTTGGGAAGTTTTGAAGTGTTTTGTTTCAAACTTTTTCAGTAAATTCTTTTTTTAAAATTGTTTAATTTTTATTTTATTTTTTTTAGATTTTGTTATTTCTTTGGTACTTTGGATGGTAAGTTTTTGAAGCGAATGCTTCAAAATTTTTTGGATTTTTTTTAAAATAAAAAAATTATTCTAATTTTTTTCTTTTTTTAGATATCGGTGCGAAATTTCTAATCAGTAGATATTAGCTTTGCAAGCTCTGACGGAGTCACTTTCTTGCAAATGCAATCACGACTGAAATATTCATACCTTATTCCATTTCGCTGACACCTGAATTATTTTGATCGGCACCCTCATGTGACATTGTGACGTGCAGCTGATTTTTAATTGGTAAGCTTAAAAGTTTCGCTCAAAACTTATTTTTTTTTGGTTTTTTAACTAAAAATTTTTTTTTTTTTTAGGTCTACTTTAGATCGGTAAGTTCAAAGCAGTTCATTTCGAAATTTTTCTTGGGTTTTTTTTTTTAAAAAAAAAAAAATTTTTTTAAGGTTTTTTTTCTCCTTTTTTTTGTAAATATCGGTAGATTGAATGATCGGTAAGTTCCAAAATATGTTTCGTTCTCGAAACTTCTAAATTTTAATTATTCTTTGTTAATAATTTTTTCTTTTTTTGTAGGTATGACTTCTAAATTATGATCAGTAAGTTTCAAAATAGGTTGAAACTTTTTTTTAACTTTGCATTGAAAATCTAACCATTTCTTCTTTTGTCTATTTTGTAGGCAACATCTTCGATTTTGGGTCTGCTCTTTAGATAAGTTTCAAATTGAAGATTATGGATGTATTGACGGTAATTTATGGTTTCATCTTCACCCGCTAACAATTGTTGATTAGCAACCTAGAATGCATTTCATTACACAGATGTACAGGAGAAGGATTACATAATAAAAATAATATGGAATACATTTAACGAATTTTATTATTTAATTAATTATTGTAGCAGAATTATTTTATTAATGTAATATCTATTATAATACTAATAATAATATACATGTTATAAATATAAAACATTGATGTTGTAATTATGTATAATATATCTATTGTAATGCGAAATAAACCATGTCATAATCATATAGAACATATTGTAAAATTCATGTTATAATACATATATGACATAGTGTTTTAATATATTTACCACTATAATAGCAGGTTGGCGCTCATGAATTTTATAACATACTTATGATAGGGTTTTTATATGGTTATCAAAAAAGTCTACATTGATAGTAAAGTAGCTTTTGGATAAATATATATAATGGCCTATAATTTACAACTTACCGACTAAAGTAATAGATATTTTTTAAATAAAAGAATTCAGATAACAAATAAATATTATATAAAATATATAACAATAGAAATATGAATATCTTACAAGCTATATCATAAATATTTTTTAAATAAAGAAATTAGTTAGTATAAGTTATATGTAAAATATTATGTAAATAAGTAATACTAGAATCAAATAATGACTTATGACTTACAAACTAAAATAAATTACAAAATAATTTTTTAAATAAAGAAATTAGTTAGTTTAAATATTATATAAATAAGTAATAATAGAATTAAATAAATACCATATAACTTGCACCCTGCAAGATTATTAATTATTAGTTAGTTAGATATAAATATAATATTTAGTGTATGTTATATATATTACTTACAATCTAGTTATTTAAATTAAGAATATAATTAGTTGAATTATATAAAATATTAAACAAATAAATATTATATATATTGTAACTTACCATCTGTAAATATAATTAATTATTAAATAGGTATTTAAATAAAGAATTTAGTTATTTGAATGTTACATAAATAAATAAAGCAAAGAATTAAAGATTTAAAAAACTGATGACTTACCAACTATAATATTATTAACCATTAAATAAATTATTTAGTTATATATAATACAATAAAAATAATGAGTAATTTATTCTTATTCAATTATATTAACTTACGATCTAAATATTTAATATAATTTTTATATAATAGTATAGTTAATCTAATTATATTTGCATATTATATAAGGTATAATTATAGATAGTATTTGAATTGTTTATAAATAAAAATTTAATATTTCAGCTTGTTTGATATACCTTTAGATTTTTTGGTACCACTTCCTTCAAATTTTTCAATACTACTTCTTTCAAATTCTTCTGTGTCACTCCCCTCAAATTCTCTAATTCTACTTCCTTCAAATCCTTCAATATTACTGGAAACTAGTTTTGTTATATTGCAAATTTGGTTTGATTATATTTGGTTATTTACAATTAAATTTTTTTTAATAAAAAAAAATCTTAATATTCATCTTTGTTTTGTATATTATATTTAGGTTTCTTGATATTATACAAAACTAGTTTTATTATATTGCAAGTTTGTTTTAAAATTTTGTATAATTCTAATTTATATTATACATTTATTATACCATATGCTTTACCTTTACCAATACTTTGATCTATTACTATATCAAAATTTTCTTTAATTGGAAAAGATAACTATCTTTTTTTTTTCTTTTATTATTATTATTATTATTAAATGTTTTTATTAGTATAAACAAATGAAACGTTTTACTGAGTGATCAGCTGTCTATGAGACTAGTTATTAGTTAATGATTTTTTTATTTTTTCAAAGTAAACAAAGTTACAGTAAAAATTACAAAGTTCCTATCTATATACTAAGACTGAAGGCAATTCCAACAACTGATAATCAAATCGCGTCCAACCTATTCGGAACTGGGTGATGTCACCTTGGTGGAGAAGTTTTGCATGACGGGACACAATAATTTCACGGCGCAGCCATGAAAATCAAACTTCCTTACACTGTACTTTATATCCATCTCTTTTTTTTCCATTTTACCAAAGTTTAATAAAACCATGGATTCAAGTAACCAAGTAAAATTGTGTTCTGGATGTTTAAAAACGTACTCTCGACTTTTTTGATGAAAAAAAAAACATGTAACGTGTGCAGGCTATCTAATAAAAACCGTCAGGAGACTTCACGTACTAATCAGAAAAGTCAAATAGAAGAACATGAAAAAATTAAGACAAATTATTATATTCATATATTATTGAAGGTTTGCCAGAGATTATAGTTGAAAATATTATAAAATACAAGGAAAACACACGAAGTAATACTTTCGAAGTGTTTTGTTTCATTGATATTACAGAATTTCAAGATGATTCTAAAGTAATATTGAATGGTTAAGAAAGTTGAAAAAAAATTTAAGCCTTTGAAAAAAAATATTGAAAGTTATAATAAGCGACATACAATGCCTCGTACTTGGAAAGATTATAATAGTAATACATATAATAAATAATAACTTACATTATAAAATTTTATTTTATTAATAAAAAAGATTTGAAAGTTACAACTTCAAAAAAAATAATTTTTCGATTATTAACTTGAATAGAAAACTAAAGTCTTATTTATTTGTTTTACTTTTATTGTTTGTCATTATTTTCGCTGAATGATATTGCTACGCAGTAAAATGTCACGCAGTAATCACGTGATATAACTGGACCCGTGATGCCGATCAATACGTATTGTCCAATATATAGAATATATGGTGTATATATAGAACATATAGTATACTGTATATAGAATAAATAGTATATATAGCATAAATAGTATATATAGCATAAATAGTATATATAGCATAAATAGTATATAACATATATAGCATATATAGCATAAATTTAATATATTAGATATTTTTTTATATAGTAAAAATTTTTATAAAAAGGCAGTGTAAATGCGCATTAGAAACAACAGTTTAGAACAGTCCTTATAAAAATCATTAATAAAATTAATTAATAAAACTCATATACACTTTATTTTTCGTGTTATTTCTTATACACTTTATTTTTTTTATTCATTGTTCATATTTGGTTAGTTTAATCCTTTACTTGCGTCTGATCGTATAGGCTATTTTGGAGAGCTATACCATATTCGCATTTGATCGGATTTATGTTAGACTTACATTGAATTAATTAAATTAGTATAAGATTTACGCCGATCCTGTTAATTTCCGACCCTACCAATCCTTCTGCTTACACTAAATATACCGCTTATTTTTAAGCATATAAGAACTGACATATAACAATATGATCGTTATCACAAATCACGTGAATGTGACATTTTTCTGCCATGATAATTTATGCGACACGTGAAATAACTAATTCGTCGATCTTTGCCAAATTTTCTAATTTATTTTTTTTTTTTTTTACATTTTCTGGCGCAAATCTTTATGTACCTATTGTAACACTTTTAAAACCCATATAGTATGCGTATTTTTGCCTGCTTTACAATTTTATTTAGTATATCAAAAAGGGTTTAGAATAGTGTTTTTGACTTTTATATGTGGGATGCGATATTTCGCGGGTGCGATAAAAAAACAAATCCGAAAAAAATACAACAAAGTGAATAAATTTTATTCATAAAATTCTTAATAACCAATATAATTTTTTGATTTTTTCAATTAAACTCTCTGCAATTCATTAAGTATTTACTTGATAGGAATAAACTAATAAATTTTAGTTCATATTGCCACAAAATATAAGAATTTAAATCTTTTTTTTTTTAAAAAAAAAAAATCATTTCTAATGATTACTTTGTTAATTCTTTTATATACGCCTTTTCTAACTTATTCTGTTTTATTTTATTTTAAAATTTAGACAACGGCGGGAGTCATACAAATGGGAGCTGAGCCCTTACAAAAGAAGTTACTAAACTACACCTAAGCTAGTATAAACCAAACCTACCTCCGAAGGGCCTGTTATTTATTAAAACAACCCTAGGCATGGCCAGCGCTGCGAGAAAGAAAAGAAGAAAGAGGAACGAACGCCTTTTCTTTTTTTACCATTGAACCATAAATAAATAGTCAGTAACATGACCATGTGTTTTTCGGTCGCATAAAGTACATATGCTACAAGGAATTTTTATTCACTTTAGAAGCTTCATATTTTATTATCGCCGCAGGTAGTCAACTAAATATATTTGATATTATTTAATTTATAATTCTTTTATTATCATAAATAAGGTAAATGGTAAATTAAGAATTAATTTACTACATATAGCAACTGCATGAGCCAAAATCTTTAATATTTTGAAAAATAGAATATAAGAGATATGTATAAAGGTGCCAACTTTGGTATAAATTCAAATAATAGATGTGGTAAGATGTAACCTCGAGTAAGTTTGTGTAAGTTTGTGTTTTTATATAAATTTCTTATGCAAATTTGTGCAAACTTGCATTAAGCTTATGTATCATCATTAGAATTTGCAAATTCAATCAACGTTCATTCCGTTCATTCTGATGATCAGGATTTACATATAGGTGCCAACCATCTTTGTGCCCTATTTTGATAAACTATAGAAAAACAACTATACTCATTAGGACTTCCACATTTTATTCTAATTTAAAAAAAATTATTTTGTCTCGTTTAATAATAATTCTTTAAATGGATATATCCTTAAAAGATAATCCGAAGGTAAACGTTAATATCTAACTAACGGGATAAAATATCTCGTTGAATAACGGTTTCTGATCACACGCCCTCTTTAACAAAACTATTACCTCGTTTTAAGTGTTGCTAATTAGATGAATTGATGGCTGATGAACATAATCCCATACCTTCTAGTTATTATAATTAATAATTTCGGCATTTGTCCGGTGTCTATCATATCTAGAGCATCTCATCATCAAGACCGTCTCATAACCACAAGAAGGGAAGGAACTATGGAGCGGACACTGTCTTTAGGGTAACCGGACAAGAATGTAACATCTTTAGAAAATATAGAAAAATACGTATGTGATTAATACGATACAACGTGTTTAATTCGACTTATCATCGTAAAAAGCACCTATTTTTTTTTTTTTTTTTTTTTTTTTTTAGATAAAAAACTGTATATTACAACTAACTATTTTACATCTAAAGTTATTTATGACATTAACTGTTACACTATAATTATACAAATTATTAATCTCAGTTTAATTTAACTCGTAATAATAGCAATTAATGTTGTAATATTATATAACACGACTTAAGTTGAAGATCTATTTAAAAACCATGACTTTAGTTTTTTAATTTTACTTCCCCATATTGTTATATCCAACAATTATAATTTTTTTTAATAAACCTAATATGTCACATAAAATACATGGGGAACTTATTGAGATTTCTATGCAGCTTTAGCAACTTTGGTGGTGGTGGTTTGTCATTTTTATCTTTCTTAACAAACTTAACACGAGAAGATACTAAATACATTTTCGCCCGGGCACAAGTGAGATGTGCATAATACGTAGGTGATGGAATGCTGACACTGGATGTGGCGCGTTGAAAGTTATAGCATAATGTATTACTTAAGCTTTGGAATTGATCTATTGTTAATTTGATATCATCATAAAGTATAGTATAATGAGATGGACGCGCTGTTCCTTGATTTGCATAGTGTGACTGGAGGTAAAAGTCATTAAGTGTGGGGTGAGTGATTTTTTTGTCAATAACAGTTCCGACAAGACAGTTTCCATTTCTGTCGGCTTCATTTTTACTTTGGGGATTTATTGGGAAAATTCTCGTATGATGACGTTTACCGACGACTGCAAAAATGATCTTTGGCTCGTAAGGCTTGTTACCTTTCCGGAACTGAGCGCATGCTTCCTTAATCTTGGGAAGTTCGAATCTGAGCACTCGTTCAAACTGGGATTCGCTAACACCATCACGGTACATAATAATGTATGGTGGAAGGACTTTTTCATCTTTTTCATCTTTCGGGAGGTCTCTTTTTTTCCTCTGATACTCACAATAATCTTTCAAGATTTCTTTTATCATTTTATCAATTTTAAGAATCTCTTCCTTTCCGGAGCGTTCTTGATCCTGATATTTTGTAACATAACGTGCGGCTTGATCGTCAAGTGAACCAACAACAGCACAGATGGAACTACCATATTTGTCTTTGGGGTGGGTTACATCAGCACCAAGAAAGAGCACTTTACCTCCATCAGGAAGACTGAGCTTTTCTTCGGGTAGGCTAGAGTTTACACCGCCGAGTTTAAGGTTTATTTTCAAAGCAAGATTGGCACAATATTGCGGGTTGCGGAAGTTTCTCTTAGAATCTACGCTTATACATTGCGAAAGACATCCTATTTCAGTGTCCATAACGCGCTTGATTGTTTCGTAAATATCAGTATTCATTGGTGACTTTTCGCCAGGAATAATGAAGAGTATCATTTGCGGCGGTTTGTTAAGTCTTTTTTCTGCATCTTTATAAGCTTGCTTTACACTATCAGGTCCCCTAAATTGTTGATAATAAATAGCCGGCATATTTTTTGTTACTCTTGCTATTTGCATCCCTTGTAATTCGCATTGCCTTGCGAGATTTTCGATAAAATTAATAGCTTCCGGTTTAGGCATCCAATTACTTTGTTCAAAAATAACTACATGCCAGAATTCGAGGCGTTCACCACTCTCAACAAATTTGACGTTTCTAAGATTCCATTGCCCATTTACAGGTTTCATGGTGTATCCTGAATATTTAACGTCTGTAGACTCAATTATACGTGCATCCACTCTGGTCAGGTTGGGTTCAACTTCCATACCAATCTTTGTAGGATCATTCTGCAGCTGCAGTATTTCTTTTGCACCCTTGATCGTTTCGCTTTCATTCACGCTGGGTCTCATCTTAGCAGCCAAAATAATCTCTCCTCGTTGTCTTCCAGTCAACTTTTTGTTGCTATAACGTTGTCCTTCAATAATTTTACAAAATTCGATCGGCCATGCAATTGTTGTGTCATCGTCACTCATTATTTCAACAAAGAGCTTTGTTGGCTTCCGGGATTGACCCTTGTTCTTTAAGTATTCTTCAATCTTGTTCTTGAAGTATTCCTCAAGTGGAAATGTTTCACTCGAATCTGTCCTTGGTTTATATTTGAAAGAAGCTACTTGTTTAGTATTTAGAAGCTTTTTAATACGTCTTTCAGTTTGAATAGGTTCCCCATTTGCAGTTTGCAGATGTTGAGGGCGAACAAGCAAGCCTCTGAGTACATCGTTAATCTTCTTCAGTACCGGGAAATTGAAATAACTAGGAAGGTTTCGAAATTTTGGATAAAGATATTGGAGAAGAAAATCATCTAGATTTAATGGTTGATAAAAAGTGGTGAATGTAGGGTTTACATTAATAAACAAGCTTCCTTGACCTGGTCTTACAGTTGAAAACCATCCAGCCCACAATTCGACACCACCATTAATTATTTTTTTTTTTCCTTTGTCATAGATTGAACTTTTGCCGGATTGAATGTAACGTTCACTTTCTGTCCCTACTTTATGGATTAGAGCGTTGAGAACGTTAAAAGCTTCGTCGCTGAAGAATTCCCACTCAAACTCTTCTGCTTTAATGTACTTCTCCAGTTGAGTTAACTCGATGACGGTGTCTAAGCGGTTAATTTTTACCTTGTATCGAGAAGAATCTCCATCAATGTTTTGTATATCTTTAATATTAATTTCTACTTCCTTAACGGTAGGATTTGAGTCGTTCAAATCCTCAAATCCCAGATAATCCGTTGTGTAGAGAGAGGAACCACCATCATATGCGATAACAACGCCTTGAAACCAATCCTCATATTTGAGACCAATTTCTTTAAGAACTCTGCGCCGAATATTCTTTCCATAGTCTGATCTTTCACGCTTGATGGCACTTTCAATATTCTTATCAGTGGGATTGACAGCAGCTTCAGTATTCTTATAAATGGGATTGACGACAGCTTCAATATTCTTATCAGCAGGATCGATCTCAATGTTATATTTAAGAAATTTATCGTATTTGGAGATAGTTGTCACTTCGAAACTATTGACCTTCACTTTAATAGGTCGTCCTTCTTTTCCAAAACCTTTCCGTTTAAGAATAGGAGGAGGAATGTAAGGCTCTTCTGTTTCGTCTGGCATTTTTTTTTTTTTTTTAGAAAAAAAAATATCAATTTTTTAAATTAAGGTTAAAGCAGGTAATTTTATAGAAGCAAAGTTTACGCCCTGGGCTGAGAAATATGACTAAAATTAGAACTTTGTCTTACATTTGTAGTGTGACAAGAAGGGATTGTCATTTAAAGTTAAAATCATCAAATTAAAAAAAAACTTTAGAATAATAATAAGAATATAGAAACATAAAGTTGTTTTTAGAAATATTTCCTTTTCTTATTATTTAGTTTTTCCATTGGGAACACAATTGTGGGACTAAATTCAGGTTGATCGACAAATAAAAACTGAGCAACTTGTTTGTTAAACAAATTTTTAATATATTTTTAAAACACAGATCAACATGATCACAAAAACGAAATTACGCAATTGTATGGTAACAGGTGATAATAAATAAATTAAATAATTATTATTTATGACGCACCAAATTCTTCTTTAATTAAATAGAACATTCTTTCCTTTGTTATGATATTTATTTTCGTTAGCGCAAAAAAAAAAAAAAAAAAAAAAAAAANTTATTTAAATTACATTGCAGCAATGGCCCGATCCAAACTTAAAGAACAAAAAAAAATAAAAATAAAAATAAAAATAAAAAAAAATAGGAAAAAGAAAAAAAAAAAAAAAAAAAAAAATAACCAAGAAATTTAGTTTGGTCAGACTAGTGATGGGCAAAATGCGAATTTTTCATTTTATAATGCGCATAATACATAGTACTGTTATTTAAGGTCAAAAAAATATGATCATTTCAATATATCATGAATATATGCAAATGCCAACCAATTTCTTTTCAGATGCAGCAGATGGTGTTGGAATAGATAGAATCTTTTTTGCTACAAGAAAAACAATTTTTTTTTTTGTAAAAAATCTACCTATTTGTAAATAACATTTTCGTTTAAACTATAATTCTAGCTAGAGTTAAAGTATAATTTTTACCAAAATTACGATACAATAAAACATTATAAAATTTATCATGCGCATCACATCATGTAACGTAGGTCAGACGATCTTATTTAATTTAATTCTGGTCTAATTTATAACCCCGGTCAAAATTAATGAAATCACGTCATTCACGTGTATCCGTGATCAATGCGTACAAAAAGGCTTTATCTTTTTATCTATTTACCAAAGATTAACGAAGATATAAATTAATTTGAAGATGATGAAAATTAAATTGCAAATATTACATTCTATAGTGTATTCTCTTCGGGTGCAAACTAGTTATACTCTTAATGAATAAATGTATTATTACAGTAAATATTTTCAATTGTAAAGAAAAAACGAAGAATTGAGGTCCGTTCGGGAATAAGGTCCGTTCGGGAATATTTTATATCAGACAATCATTATTGATTCGGAAAAGTAGGCGTTATGAAGGTAGGGATGACAAAAAAAAAAAATAATATCTATTGTAAAAATCAATAATTATTAGAGAAATCACTTGGGTGATATTGCTATCAAATTTTGTTATAATTTAATAAATGATATCACTCGATTAAAATTAAATAAAAATTAAATACAATATGAAAATGAATAAGGTATAAAAAATTTTCTAATGAAAAGAAAAATTTTCTAATAAAAGAATTTTTTTCAAATATTGAAGGTTGTAATAAAATGAGCATTTATACCTATAGTCGAGAAATCGAGAACAATAATGTTTAATCTAAAAAATAAAGTGAATCTTAATGTGTAATCAACATTAACGTTAGGTCATATTTTATATTGATTTTTTGAATTATAATAATTTTATTTCGGAGTATAAAGCTTATACAGATGAGCTATATGACATTGAACGCATAATATGGGATAAATATGATAACCGATTCTGTTATACAATTTCGAACAATATATTATTTCATTTGCTACTTTACACTTGAGACATTGATCATACGTCAATAAAGATCCGTCATCAAAAAAGCGTTTATTAAAAGTATAGAAATCTAATTCTACAGTTAAATGTATTTACATATGGGCGCATTTTTGGAATCCCATGTATCATTAATTCCAAAAGTGCGCTCATATAAAGAATATCCTTATTTACTTATTTACTATAAAATATTTTTTTAATAATATTACAACGGTTCAGTAAAGAAAAAAATTTCTTCCAAATTTTATTAAGTATTTTAAATGCTACATATTATTTTACTCGATTCGCTAAGAACGAAGGAGCGAATAAAAAACATTCGATTATAATTAAATTGACTTTAAAAAGGAATGAAGATATACAATACCTATATACCTCTTATAAAAATAAATTAAAAAAATCTGTAAATAAGTCGCATGATTCATACTAGAGGATGGTATAAAGAAATTTTGGGATGATCGTCATAAACAGCGTCAAGGAAGACATTCTAAATACTATTTTTTTGATATAAAAAAAATATTATTATCGTTATAGTTAGTTGTAAATATGTGTAAATAAACATTGTTTTATGTACCTATTTTGTTTTAGGTTTTTTTGGAGTAATATCCGTAGATTGCTCAGCAATAACGGATACTTGTGATGGCGTAATTCTTTCCCAAAATTCTTCAAATTTCTTTTTAAAATTTCTAGTAATATCTGAATTATTTGCGTGAATTGGACCATAATACATTTCTTCAAGTAACGTGAACCATTCTTTCTTTTCATTCCCATTTTGTTGATCATTATTCATTTCTGTCTCATTAAATTTTCTCTTATTATTTTGATTAAAAGATTTATTAACATTCGGTCTATCATATTCATAATTAATATCAAATGGTGAATCATATTTTAATTTTAAATCAAATATTATTGGTAAACTTAATTCAAAAAGTGGTTTAATTATTTCTTCATTACTTGCTAAACGTAAATATGGTAAATAATTTCCTTTAAATGGAATTTTTTGATTACAAAATTCAAGATAAATAGAACAAATAGAATTAAAAGCTTGTGAAGTAAGTTGTTCTGGAACATCCATTCCAGAATATTCTTGTAATTGTAAATCTATCCAAATTCTTGATTCAATAATATCTTCAAAACATTTATGAGTAATTTCAGAATTTGAACCATAAATTTGAAGTATCCAATAATAAATATTTGAATGAACTGATAATGATCTCATTTCTACAGATTTTATTGTATCAATATCATATTTAAAACCAACATTATAATGTTTTAATGCTTTTTCCCAAGCTTTTTCAGGTTGATCATCAATATATTTAATTAGAAATTCCAATAAATCAAATTTTCTATGATATCTTTCTGGTTTTATTGTTTGAATAAGACAAGAACTAGCAATTATTGAAATTGATTCTTCACGAATTTTTTGAAATGAATTCATTAAAAGATCTCCAACATCATTTAATCTATGTTCAAATGAAAAAAGTATTTCTTCTATAATAATATCAGTTAATTTAAATCCAACATTAATAAGTTGATCTAAACGTTTAATAATAATATCTGTATCAGGACATTCCCAATCAGTTGGTGGTTCACGAGGAAATAAGTTAGAAATAGCTCCTTGTATTACTAATTCATTAAAATCACTACAAATTTCATAATAACCAATCTTTTTCCACATATTAACTAAATCAGGATGAATTAATATTGCTCTAGATACATCACTAAGTTGTTGATAATTCTCATAACCGTCTCTTGACGGATATTCTTCATGTGAATTTGCTTGCATTAATTGAATATAATCTATAGAATCTTCATAAATAGGTTTTGGACGAGGAGGGAAAGGTATAAATCTTTTATTTAAAATTAAATCTTTTATTTCACCAAGATTTTGAAAAAGTTTTTGAGGAGCGTAATTAATAACAAGAGGTCCAGCAGATAAGAAATGAAATAATTCCATATCGTTTCCTTTAGTTGCAAGTTCATTATCATCTAATACTTTATATCCTTCAGTCAATAATTTTGTAAAAACTGTTAAAGAAAGATTACTTGCCCATGGAGGAGGTTGAAATGCATGAAATGCACTAAAATCAATTTGATTATGTAAATTACGTTCTCTCTTAAGTAATTCATCATGAGTACCAAAATGCATTAATAAACGTTGTAAAAAATATCTAGAAATTATTGCATTTCTCTTAAGTAAAGCTTCAATAACTTTTTCTGTTATAAAACCGTTACCGAGTCTAACTGCGTGAAATAAAACGTGAGATTTGCCATATTTATAAATTGACCATTCTGCTCGGGCGTCAGGGTCTTGAGAAGTAGTACACCACTCTCGATTGATAAGAGAAAGTGAATAGGGGATACTTGTAAATTTAAATATTTCTATTCTTAATTCGCTATTTAACGATTGCATTTTTTTTTTTATTTTTTTTTTTTCTCGAAAAAAAAATAATATATATATATAAAAGAAAGTTGAATGAGAAACAAGAAAGAATAACAATATGAGGGAAATATTATTCCGAGTGATTATTTATACGTTAATTTTGTACAACAAAGAAACGGAATTTTTGGGTGTAAAACTCCATAAACATTTAATATTTATATCCAAAAAAAGAAAGGATTCGAACGCCTTTGTTTATCATAAATTTTTTCGCTTCTAGAATCATATATAAATGATATAAAAATATATAAAAAACGTACTTTTTAAAAAAAAAAAAAAAAAAAAAAAAGAAATATGGAATTTTTACTGGATTATCACAGCTTACTAAACTTTACCATATTCATAATATTCCCTTTTAACCAATTTCTTTATATGGATATATAATGAAAGGGTTTTATTTATTGTAATATGAACAAAATTCTAACCATATTTATTTATGAGCATCATTAGCCCGACCATTGACATAAATGGAAATTTTAACAAAGCAAAAAGAAAATGATCGACAAGGACAAGGCTGAACTTCATATCCTATATGCGTTGTTCTTATAGGTTAAAAAAAAAATAAAATAAAAATAAAAATAAAAACTTAGTACAATTTTATATAACAATTTCATTTATATATATATATTTCATGCATCTAAATTTGTTATACGTATTATATTTCATGCCTCAACAATCGCACTTAATTGAGGCGACAACGTGTTAGTTTACGACTAATATTTGATTAAAATACTTTTTTCATCTCAATTTTTTTAGCATAAATGCAACCTTCAAAGGCTACATTAATATTGTGAATGGGTAGTGAATTTAATTGACTCTAAAAAATGTGATTCTCTGTCAAAAAAGCTAGATCACGTTTAATTAGTCACGTGTAATATATTTGATTGGATATATAAGTATATCACGTGTTTGAGGATCATTCGTCGGATTTAACGCTCATTGTTTTAGATTCGAATATTTCTTCTTCTATATAATTTACCAGATTTATAACCTTGAGGTTCCCTAGTTATAAATTATTCTCTTTTATGTATATTTCTGAATCAGTATACGATGATCGAAATATTGCCCAATCAAATTCACTACAAGACTTAATATTTTTTTTTACGACATATTTTATATAGACGATGGAAAACTTCCAAAACAATGAAATCAATGATTAACGATCACGTATAGTGAAATTAAACGATTTACTAACAAAATTTTTTTAACTATAATAACTTTTACCAATAACAAATTGTCAAAATTGTCATATGATCGTCCACCAATTTTCGTATGGTTTACTATAAGATTTTCAGAGATGTGATACAGATAGCCATTTTACCGGACACCATCTTGCTGACTTCCATTTTACCGACATGAAAATTACTCGACTTGCAAATTATTTTAAGTAAAATTTAACAAAATTGTATATAGACTTATTTATTTTTAAATTGCAATAATAAAATTAAAATTATTAAATAAACAATATCCAATTTTTTAAATAGCTTCAATAGTTCCATATTTGTAAAAAGAATCTGGTTTTACATGATAAATAATTATTACTTATTCGATGAAAACTTTTTTCGTTCTTTAATGATTAGAATTTAGAAAGAAACAAATATAAAATATAAATATCGATATTCGATACTACGTTGATCATGTTGGCAAGTATATATATATTCCTATTACTTTTTTCCGACGATCCTCGCGATCCTCAAAATTCTTTGGTCAGAAAAGGAAAATACTGAAATACTAAACGAAAATCATTTACATAAATTTAATTTTGAGTCCATTATATTATCTATTTTGATGCTCAAAAAGCAGAATGGTGATTCGTTGGATGAAATGGCAAGTCAGCAAAGTGAAGTCAGTAAATTTTATGTCGGTAAAACACTAAAACAGGGCATACCTCAATTACCTCGTGACTACATTTGTAGGGTGAATTAGAATTTTGGACAAAATTTAATTAATTACTAAAAAATTAAGCTCATGAATGCAATTTTTCAGAAGACTGCAGAAAAATAATAAATAAATTAGCCTTAAATGAAAAGATAATTACACAATAGCAAGTTTCGGTTTGTTTAACAGTTAAGAGGGTTTTTTTTTCAGTTTCAACAACAGTTTCAACAAAAGATGTATATTTTGCGTTAAAACATCAATTCCTACTAAAATTAGTTTTGGCTCTAACGCTGACTAAGATTTCGTAATTGCACGTTACATTGTTACAATGGTAAATTTTTATAATATTTATTTCAAAAAATATATATTACATTTTATAATTTTTTATTTACAATTTTCTTACTTATAAATGATTGTACAATATATATTTATATAATTTAATTCTGTTCTTTATCATGTGTTTACGCAAGTTTTCGAAGCATATTGAATACATAGATGATACCTAGTACCAAATGGAAGCAATCAATCACCATCTCTATTTTTTTAAAATATTTCATTATTAGGATCTAACTCATATGGAATATCTCTCTCTAAGTATGAGCATTGGAATAATGAAAATAATGGAACTGTTACAATCAAATAATAAATTTTTAATATTCCATGAGAGATCAAAATCTAGAGAGAAGTCAATACGATATCTTTATAATATTAAACCTTTAACTCACAATGTATTCTATCATCTCATCTATAACATAGTCGCTTTAGATAATCTTTCATTTCCACCTCCTATTCCATATCATTTACACCTGGAAATCAAGTTTTTTTGACGATCTCACGATAATACCGGAAATGTTTGGATGTATATGGCAAAGTTCAAAGAAGGAAACTCTTTCATGAATAGCTAAAGCTTGACAGGAAGGTTCATATTGAGCCCTCCTAATTTTAGCAATTAAATGCCACGTTCCCTATAAAAACTTTTTCAGAAAAATGATCACGTGACTAAGTTTCTTCGGAATAAAACTAATAAAATGACTCATTTATTGGATATAGGTTATAGCTCCACCTATAACGAAATGCTTATATATATATTTAAAATTATTATTTATTAACTTTATGGTATCTTCAAAAATAGGTTTAGGACGAGGTGGAAATTGCACAAACTTTTCTTTTAAAATCAAATCTTCAATATGATTACCCTGTAAAAAAAGTCAATCCGTTTTTTTTATTCCATCTTTTTTCCGTAAAAGGCCCATATTTCCGGAATAATAACTTTATATCACGGAATTTATCGAATTATTTACATTTTCCGTAAATGTTTACAGAAATAACGATAAAATTAATTTAATAAAAGTTGGTAAAGGTAAATTGGCACGAATTCTATTTTGATTTACATTATGTTTAAGTTTATCATAGGACGGTGAGTAATTTATTACACAAGATTTTGTGTACGCGGGTGACCCAATCAATGACTGACAATTTTAGCCCCTTGATTGTTTCAAAATGATTTTCAGTTATACTGTATGTTAAAAACGCGAAAAAGTTGTACTATATTAATAATCTTATGGTTATATAAACCCCGAATTTTGTTCATTATTTAAATTACAAAATAAATCTTCATCTGCTTCTAAAAAAACAATGTCTTCTTCTGTTAATAAACCAGCCGCAGCAATTATGCAACGTCAGCTATTTACTAAAGGAAGGTTTTTTCATATTACACCAAACGATAAAAATCATTTCTTAATAACTTATAAAATTATTCAAGAAAATTCTGATTTTTTTGATGACAATGATCCTGATTATAAACTTAACTACGACCACGAATTTATTTGTTCATATCATACAGCGAATTATTATGTCAGATGTAAGTTGTTAACTCATTCAATAATTGAAGATTTATTGAATCATGAAGAGTTTGATATAAACACACAAAATAATGAAATACCATTATCTCCACAACAAAAATTAAGTCTTGAAGAAAGCTTGCTTGTAAAGCTTTATTTACGCATTTCACGAGGAACCGATGAAATTATAATTTAGATTAGCATATTTTAAGTAAAGTGCGTGCGTTATTACTCTTTTATTGTCCATTTGATCTTCAATTTTGGTT